GCTCGAGTCGGGTAAAATCGCCAAAAGGGGCCCAGAACCGAGCCGTGCCCCGGGGTGCGGTGAACTCCGGGGGGGGGGGGGGGGGGGAATCGGCAAAAACCCACAATCGGGTCACCCATAACCCTCGGTCACCACACTCCTGGCCTGGCCAGTCTCGGCACGTGGATCTCCCCAGGCACTAGCCCCGACCCGAGCCATTTGAGGACTGGGACCTGGGCACGAGCCCTTGTTCGAGCTAAGACACAAAAGGACCATGGCACAGATCATCCTCGTTCTCATACACACAGTAAAATGAAATTGACACAGAAATTTCTTTATTTTGATTGCAGAGTAGGTTAATCTATACAAAAAGGAGGCCCGAAGGCCTCGGAAGAAAAAAAAAAGATTGGCGGGGACCTGGAAGCTCACTCCGATGCACCCGGGTCGCCAGCCTCATCGCCACTGTCGCCCACACCGCCGTCATCGCCCTCCTCGTCGGAGCTGAGGGCGAACGCGAGCCAAGGGGCCGAACCCTCGAAGCTGTGGACGATATGGCTGGCGGCGTCTTGGACCCGCGCGCGCGTGCCGTCCTCAGTCCCGGGAGGGAACTCGTCCAGCGCCGTCCATGGGGAGAAGTCGGGGTCCCTGGCCTGGTAACTCGCCAGTACGAGCTCCACCGCTCCTCGGGCGAGGTCCCTCGAGGATGACTTAATCGTCCTCTCGAGCTCCTCGGGGAGCCGTTGGAGAGTCCCGGCCATCTCCGAGAGGCGCTGGGCGAGGCCTCCCTGGTTGGCGGCGTACTTCGCAGTCCGCCCGCCCCAGAGACCCGCCTGCCGCCCGGCGCGGTCTAAACGGGACACGGCGTCGCGAAGCATGCTGGGCCCTATCTCGCCTGCCAGACGAAGGGCCTCGACCTCCCCGGTGGACGAATTCAGCGCGCCCTGCAGATCCGCGATGGTGTGTTCGGCAGCTGCGAGGCGGGCGGCTAAGTCGCTGTCGCCCGTGGCCGCCCCGCCGCTACGCGCCCTTGCATCCAGCTCCCTTGCCTGCGCCTCGAGTTCAGCGGCCCGTTGGTTCAGTGCGGCCCTCTCGGCACGGGCACCTTCCAGATTGCGACGCGCTTGTTCCTCTTGCGCAGCTTCGCGGAGGGACGCGCTCTCCACCAGCCTTTGCGCTGCGGCTTCGGCCTCCTCGAGGGCTCGCTCCCGCTCGGTGAGCACATCCTCGCGGAGACGGAGTGCGGACTCTTCTTCGGCACAGGCGGCTTCGTGCGCCGCCAGTGTGACCTCCCGAATGGCAACGGCGGCCTCGCGGTCCGCCAGGTCCCTCTCCACGACGCCGGCACGCTCTTCCAGCGCCATGGCACGGGCCTCAAGGGCTTCTTCGCACCGCCGGGATGCCACCTCGGTCTCTTGGGCAGCGGCAGCGTCAAGGACCCCCCGGGCGGCGTCGAGCTTCTTCCCTAGCTCCGCCTCCCAACTCCTGTGTTGAAGGCGGAGGTCGTCCTGTGCCTCGTTCATCACGGTAGTGGCGATGAGGGCAGCCCCCCGCTCCTCCTCCACCTCCCTGGCGATCTCCTCCAGCACCTTCCGACGGGCTTCGAGCTCTGAGGCGTGCCGGCAGTGTGCCTTGCGGCCCACCTCCACCATGGCCTCCACCGCGCGTCGCCCCTCTTCGACACGCGCCCATGCGGCGTCGAGCTCCGCCCGCTCTGCTTGCAGGGCCTCCATCTGGGCACTTAACCCGTCCAACACCGTGGTGTTTGCGACGGCTAAGGCCTGCAGAAGGGGCTCTGCACTCAGTGGGGCAACGGAAGGCGTGGGGGAGAGCCGCCTCGGTGAGGATGCCGCGCGGCTCGGCCCGCCGATGGACGTGCCGGGCTCGGGGACGTCCCCCGGACCTGACTTGTCCTGAGTGTCGCCCGAGGGAGTGGGCCCAAGCGATGCGCCCGCGGCCTCGTCGCGAGCTGCCTCGGAAGTCGTCGCCGCCTCGGCCTGGCGGAGTCTGGCCTCCTCCCGTGCGGTTTCTTCAGCCTGGCGGGCCCGGACGGCCTCCCGGGCGGCCTCCTCGGCTTCCCGTAGGCGATCCGCGGCTTCTCGCCGGTCAGATTCCCGCCTCCGGGCCTCCGCGGTCGCCGTATCCTCGGCCTCAGACTGGCCGGACTTGGAATGGCGGGAGGGACGCGACGAGATCTCGCTGAAACAGAAGAAAGACCAGAAGACAAACAAGATGGGTGAGTGAAAACTCGCGTTGGGAGAATGAATACAGCCACAATGGGCGTGGGACGAACCTGCGAGGAGGTCGGTTAAACGACCACCTTGGAGGGGAAATGAGGTTTCCCCGGGATGGTTCTGTCCCCCCATCTTGCGGAGCCGTTTTTTCTTCCGCTCCCCCTCGGGCTGCGGCATCGGCGCGGCCCCCTCCGGGCGCCTGCTGCTGACACGCGCCGCCCCGCCCCCTCGGGGAGGAGATGGGGAGGAGGTACCCTCCTGCTTCCTCTTCCCTCGGGCGTCGGCAGGGCGGCAGCCCCCCGAGCCCCCGTCACAAAGCCCGGAAGCACGACCCCCTCCTGGGGTAGATTGTTCTCCCCTGCAGCTCCCGCCCGCGCCATCATGGCCTCGAGAAGCCTGCTCCTCTGAGGCTCTGACCGCCATCATGATGGTCAGGATGTTGGCGCGATCTGGATCGTTGCAGAGGGGGAGGACTCCTTGGGGGATGAGGGATGCCTCCACGGAGCTGAGATTCAGCACCCGTTGGATCATTACCTTGAAGTCTTCAGGGACCCAGTCCCATTTGACCCCCCGGTGGGTCCTCATACAGTCCTCGGACCCGGTGTACTCCCAGGCGCCCCGGGCGCGCCGCTGGAGTGGCGCGATCCGGCGACGAAGGTAGTCGCCGTACACCATGGCCCCTGTGAGCCCCTGGGATCGCAGGCCCGTCAGGCGGTCGAGGACGGCGTCGTAGCCATCTCCCAGATCTACCGGCGCCCGCCAGCTGGAGGCCTGCGCCGGGGGCTGGCTCGGAAGTCGGAGGCGCGCTTCGTCGGCGAGGGGGGTGTAGAACCAGTCGCTCTTCGCGTCATCCCACTTCTTGCGGAGGACGCAGGGAATGTAGCGGTTCAGCACCGGCCCCCGCGGTTGGAAGTAGCAGCCACCAACCACCGACGGCGGCGACACCGGCTGTACGGTGAAGAACCACCGGAACAGCCGAAGGGATGGGCGCACCCCGATGAACATCTCGCACAGGTGCGCGAAGATGGCCAATGTCATTACCGCGTTGGGGGTGAGGTGCGCCATCTGGAGATCGTAAAACTCCAGAATATCCATGAAGAAAGAAGAAAATGGCGGAACCAGCCCTGCCATTGCGAAAGGGAGGAAGAAAACGGACCGCCCCGGGTAGCGTGGCGCCGGGCGTCCCTCGCCCAGCGTAACTATCTCCCGGCCGGTGGCAGATTCTGGCATGAAGCGGCGCGGCAGCCCGGCCTGCCTCTCGCTCACGATGCGGGAAGGCGGCAGCACGCTACCATCGAGTGGAGCGGAGCCCCGTGCCATGACGCCGGTAGAAGAGATGTTTGAGAGCGAGCGCGTGTGGCGAGGGTAGGGCATAGGAAACAAGGAGTTAGGGCGCAAGCGGCGAAGACAAGGGGAATAATGGCGAGAGGAAGGAAGCGAATCTCTTCCTCGGTGTCTTTATACCTTTGCCAACGCTGTGCCCGGCTCCTCGCTTCTTGCGCCCACTATCTCGCTCCCTCTTTTCTCGCGCCCACGCTTCCACTAATCCCATTCGCCCGCTTGCGGCGCGTGAGGTGGATATGCGGTTGTGGCAGTCGAGATGGAACATATCATGCGCACGTTAAATACACTCGCCGACCGAAGCACCATCAGCATATCTCCGGGCAAAACGAACCGGCTCGTCCCGATTCGCGTGCTACTCGAGTAATGTGGCAGTCTTGAAGAGGCCGCTCATTATTGACAGTCGAGTTACCATTGCCGATGTGCGTGATTTGCGACCGTTGTTTTTCTGCCCAACTGTAGAGACCAGCCCCACTTGTCACCAGGCCTAAGTAAGTGGCGTCACGCCCGACCGCTTCCCTCGAGGAGGGCGATCGCCCTGGCATAACGCCGGGGGCTACTGTCGGTGACATGGGACCGGGAGTATCGTGACTAGAGGTTTGGGCAGGAGCAATCACCCACGTGGCCTGACCCCCTCGGGGGGGGGGGGGGGGGTCGGGCCCGAGGGTGATGAGGCCGCCCCTCTCTTCGTCTCCCCGAGGGGTCGGACCGCTCCCGTTTCGGCCCCGAGGGCCGAGGCGCCCCGACCCCTTGTGGGTTTTGCGCCGCGTGTATGGGTTAGGTGAGCACAGCGAGGCTCACCTAACCGTATTTATTGCAGGTTTGAACGAGCGCGTCACGCCGCATGTAACGCAGTGCAGCGCGCTCGTTTATCCGGTCTATGACCGGTCACAGACCGGTCAGATCGTGGGTTAGGTGACAACAGGCGGTCTGACACACGCCTCGCCCCATCCCGTCAGGATAAGAGCCTCCAGGCACTTGTCCCTAGCCGGAGCCAGCGTGCTAGCTCCTGGAGATGGCACGTTGGTCCCGGTCAGATATATGCCAGGCTTCATCCCAACCGTTACAAGCAAGACATTGTATGAAGAAGGGCGAACATGCAGATTGATAAACTGACGCGTGGTGGACAAGAATGACCGATTTGTGACGGCCTGACACTGGTCATGTCGTCGGCAGATAGCCATGTTCCCACGTCGCACCTGCTTCCGGCGGAAGTGGAGGTAGGTATGGGCCGTCCTATCAGAAGGTCATTCGGACGGCAACCATTACAAATCTCCGCCCATTTATGAAGGAAAGGCGGGCGAAGTTTTAGAAAAAAGAGGATGGGTCCCGACCAAAAAGGGAAATAGGTAGAAGTGGTGCATGTGGTATCCCCTTGAGATATAAAAGGAGGACCTTGCCCACTTGCGGGAGAAAAAAAAGAAAAAGAGGGGAGGAGAAGATCCCACGAGAGGAAAAAAGGAGGAAAGGGGTTTCTAGAGTTTGAGCGCTCTGGCTCTCCAGCTCTTGGTAGCTTCTTCATACACAGATCTACCAGAACACAGGAGTAGGGTATTACGCTTCTCAGCGGCCCGAACCTGTATACATCGCCCGTGTCTTGTGTGTTTCCACTTTGGCGAACGTTTCACAGACTAGGAGCTTAGAACCTCAGCCAGGGCCCCCGGCCGAACTGGCAAAGGGGGACCTGCGCGGTCTCCCGGTGAGGAGCCCCGCGCTCCGTCAAACGGCGTCGACCTTGTACCTGTCGCGGCGAGCGGTGACCTCCCGGGCGCGTTCCATGATGCCCTTGATCTCGTCGGCGATGTCGTGGCGCATCTTGGCCGCCTTCCCCAAGAAGCCGGCGGCCACCTTGCTCACCATCCCTTTGGAGCCATGGTTGTCGTCGTCGACGCGCACCCGCACCATGAAGGTGTCGAGGACGTCGTCGGCGTCGTAGGAGAGCTCCCTGACGTCGCGCGCCCAGAGCTCGACCTGCTCGTCGAGCTGGTCGGAGGGCACGTCGCCGACCTTGCGGAGGGCGGCCTGCATGCTCTCCAGCTCTCTCCGGAGAGCCTCGACGTTCCTCTTGACGCCCTTCTGCAGCTTGTACTCGTCCATGGCAAGCTCGCCTAGCTTCAGCAGCAGGTTGCCCATAGCCCCCGTCGCGGAATCCATGGCCGCCGAGCAGCCGACACGATCTCGACCTCAACGATTCGGGGTGGGCGTCGATGCGTTGCGCACTCGAATTTCTTCTACAGACGACGCGCCAGCCACAATTTTGTAGCAGCCCGTTCGCTGCGAACACTTCAACGGGTTAGATTTCCAGGGTGAGGATTTCCAGGCGGCGGGAGGAGAGGAGGGGGCGAATAACTTACCAGATCACCGAGACGTGCTCGCCGGAGCGGAGGCCGTCGTTGGGCTTGTCGGCGTCGGATTCGCCGGCATCAAGTTCGTCACTCCGGGATGAATGGAATGGGGGACTTCACTGGAGAGGACTAATAAAGAATGAGAGTTGGTCACCCGGGATGAGGTGGCAAGCAAAGCTCGTGGTCCTTGTGTATTTGTGGAATGGAGGGAGTGGACTTTGCGTCAACGCATCAAAGTTCAAAGATGGAGGCTGGAGAACGACCAGGGATTATCACCTGCTTATTTTTTAATACACATAATAATATAGTTTAATTTATTCTTATATATTTGCATCAACTGGGAATGTCACGTGAGGTATATTTGCATGAGTAATTTTTGACGTAAAAGAGGCCGAGGAACTAATCATTATCGTAGACATCATGCATCAATGGATTGGCCACATGCGCTCCTTCCTCCCATTTCAGTTGAGAAAAAAAACCTTACTCCCTTCATCCCAATATAAATACACTTAGAATAGGATGTGACATTTTATAATACATTATGAACTGACAAACACGTATGGATTGTAGAACAAATGTAACAAGAGTGGATAAATATGGCTGCTAGAAGCCTAAAAGCATGGTTTAAGTACTAATGTGCTTGTAGTTAAGTACTACCTCATTTTTAAAATGTATATGACACCGTTGATTTTTCACACAACGTTTGACCATTCATCTTCTTTATAAGAATTAGTATAAATATATAAAATTATAAATTAAAATAAATGATAATTCATAACAAAACACATGACATTTATATAAAGTTTTTGAATAAGATAAAATGTCAAACATTGTGTGAAAAGTCGATAACGACGTAAATGGATGGTTGTATCAATCAACTATTAATGGAATAAGCATGGAGCTGTGTGGGTACTAGGAGCTGCAGCAATATATGCTACTTTTGAGGGATGCATCCAAGACATAACTTAAAAGAAAAATAAATCAAGCCTACCTGGAATGTGGGAATTTCTCCAGTAATCTGATATCTGGAGCAACTTGATTTTTCACATTTTGATCCTTTTAAAAAACTTATTTTGTGAATAGACTCCTAAAAACACTTATTCCGGAAATGGTCTTTTTCGCGACACCAACGTCATTGGCGCTGTGGTCTAACATGACGGCGTTAATGTTGGCGCCGCCCTCCTAGCCCCCCCGATGGAAGCTAAGTCACTAATGTGAAGGGACGGCGCAAAAGACATTTGTCGCCGAGGACCAGTCTTTAATTTTTTTGAAAAAGGACTTATTTGTAATAAAAATACTTACAAACAGGTCCTCAACATAGTGTAATTGGTGTCAAGGACCTATTTATAAATATTTTTTTTATTATAAATAGATCCTTTTTTATTACAAATAAGTCATTTTTCAGAAAAATTACAAATTGGTCCTAGACGCCAATGTCTTTAGCACCGTCCCCTTCATTAGTGACTTAGCTTCTATCGGGGGGCTAGGGGGACGATGCTAACGTCATTGGCGTCATCATATTGGACCATGGCGCCAAAGATGTTAGCGCCACGGAAAGGACTATTTATAGAATAAATTTTTTAGGGCCCATTTGTAATATAAGTTGTCATGGTTACGGAAAAGGCATAACTTCCACTGGTGGAGAAGTGGTTTCTAGTCCCGGTTTACAACCCCCTTTAGTCTGGTTGAAAACCGGGACTACAAATCTAGGACTAAAGATCATTAAAATACCTATGAGTAAAAATGCATCTTTAGTCCCGATTAGTAACTTTAACAGGGACTAAAGATGGTAGTGCCAAGGTTTTTTTCTTTTCTTTTTCATTGTTTTTTCTCCTTGCATATTGATTTCAAACCGAACTCCAACAAAATCATCCATATTCACAAAAACATCACAAAATCGTCCACAAATTCAACAACAAAATCATCCACATTCACAAAACATCACAAAATCATCGAAAATCATCACAAATTTACAACACTTTCTTTCATGCAAGATTGATGGAAACGCCACTGCCCTCCGCGCCGGCCGCCGCTGCCTACCACCGCCCTTCACACCGGGCGGCGCCGCCTACCGCCGCCCTCCGTGACGTAGAGGGAAAAGAGAAGGGGAGGAGGGAATCGGAGGAGGAGGAGGGAGAGGGAAAGGGGAGGAAGAGAAGAAGGACATCGATCTGAGGAGAAGGAGTGGAGGAGGACAGGGGATAAGATCTGAGGTGAAGGCACTTGTGCCGAAGCGAGATAAAGGAAGAGAGAGAGAGAGAGAGCGAGACGTGGGAGAGAGATATTTAGTCTAGATCAAAAAAATACCTCTGAACTTATAACTGAGAATAAAAATGGTTTTTGTTAAACCGGGACTATTGTGTTTTTTGCCCAACCCATAAAAGATGGTTTTTCCAGTAGTGTTTTATCCTATGACTTATAGAATATACTGATATGGCATACCTTCGTATGTACGATAGACTTCCATATATAATAAGGAAATCGACAGGAGATTATGGAAATAAACCTCACGGGCATGTAACGCAACAGAATTCTACTCGGAGAAGGTTAGGACTATACCATATCGTGTAGAGTCCGGGGTCTCTGAGTTCTACTTGGAGACTAGGGGGATTCACGGTATAAATAGACACCCCCTGAGGGGTCAAGAAATCAAATCATAGCACTAGCCAATCCACTACTACATAAGCAATCCGGAGGACTTGAAGCCTACTCGCCGGAGATCCCGTCGAAACCATCTCGACAATGATCTCCTCGGTAACCTTGGGATCAGTTGTTCTCTCTTATAATTTATGGATTTCTATATCAATCTCATATAAACTCGATTATGGCTATTACCTTACGAGTGGCCTGAACCAGTGTAATCATTGTCTATTTGTTTGCTTGATGTCGAATTGTGTTGACATAAGTTCTTTTTAAAAGAACTAAAAGGTGAAAAATCCTGTCTGGAGCAACATGTGCAGCATCCTTCCATATAACTTGATTATAAAGTCGCGCATTTGCACGACTCTGACCATACTGTCATGTACTCATGTGCTTTATATATAGAGTGAATTTCAGAAAACCCCATGTTTTGAGGCCAATGTAACACATAACCACAGGTTATATTTATTTTCTCATATAACCCAGTGCATTCAATCCAATTAACACAATACCACAGGTTTAAGTGTGGGAAAGTGCCACAATGGCAAGTGACATGGCAGACCTGCTCCATATCAGCTGGCCCCACCTGCCAGATCAATGCGTGGGCTATTTAGGGCGGGATCATGCGGGAGAACGGAAGCACCCATCCTCTGTTCCCACGCATGCGACGATGCACCCCTCGTCTTCCTCATGCTCGTTGCGGCAATGTTCCACCAAATCATCCTCTTACAAGTTCAGAGGGGCAGCTCGTCGTGCACAGGCAAAGGCAAGCATCTCCAACTCTGCTTTTCTGCAAGTAGGTTCCAATTTTAATCAATTACTGTTTGTAGGGTTTCGGTAACTTGGGAGTTTGCGATTTTTGTCAATGCAAAATAAAATTGCATGATATTTTAGTGTTATGTTGAGCAAGTGAGAAGGATGGCCTAGGAAGGTTCAGATGCTGGGAGACAATCCAATGGGTGCCCCGTATGAGATGGATTGCTGACTCAATTTCTTTCTCACTAGTTTGTGTTATTTATGTTTCAGTTGGCATTTTTTTTCTTGTTGCAGAATGGCGATGAATGTGATTTTGTCTCTCGATTCGATGGGTAGCGGCCGCAAGAGATCTCAACACAATTGAGATTGAACGACACACTGTTGACTGTGCAAGAAATCGAAATGAAGCTTAATTGAATCAATGGTATGAACTGCACAAGGAGAGGATGATAGCTGACTGAGATAGGAACAAGGCCATCGCCATGTTGCAGGCTCTGGAGAGTGGAGAGGAAAAGGAGGGATCAATTCGAACGGATGGCGCTATCACTACAGATAAAACAACAAATTTTGTTGGTGTCCAATGTTATGATACTTGTACTGTTGATCGTTCTTGCTTAAGTGATTGCTTGAGAAAAATAGGATGGTCGCTTTGTGAGAATGCACTTGTATGCCAGAGAATGGTATATAAAACTTGAGTTCTTCACATGTTCTTCACATTTCATTAGCCCTAATTTCTTGACAAGACAAACGTGATCAAAAGGCAAGATTTAATTCCTCGTCAACCATGAATAATATTGCCTGCTAGGAATATTGATTCTATCCATCTCCCTGATCTTGGTACCCAACGAGTTCTCTTCCTCTACTCTTCCTCCAGCTAGGTCAACAGCACGATCATCATGTGAGGCCATCATGCGAGAGATGGTTGGGGAACACCATCGCCATCCGTGTGCGCAAGAAAGAGACGGGAGGCGCGCGCCGTGCCGCGTGCGTGGGAACAGGGAATGTGCGCTTCAGTTCTTCCGCGTGATCCCGCCCTAAATAGCCCACGTATTGATCTGGTAGGTGGGGTCAACTAATGTGGAGCAGGTCTGCCATGTCACTTGCCATTGTGGCACTTTCCCACACTTAAACCTGTGGTACTGTGTTAATTGGATTGATTGCACTGGGTTATGTGAGAAAATAGATAGAACCTGTGGTTATGTGTTACATTGGCCTCAAAACATGGGGTTTTCTGAAATTCACTCATATATATATGAAGATATGTAGTCAATGATAACTATGTATGTTAAATTTTAGTATTAAAAAAGTGCCAGCTGTATTTGTTTAATTTTGTTGAATGAAATTTTGAATGTTTGTTTTCATAACTTGAAACTATATAATGGATACAATTCTAATCCACGTGTGGTGAGGATCCAATCTGATGCCAAAAGGTATAGTTACTCGATGGCTTTGTTTTGGAGATACATCATTAGATATTTTGATCTATCGTTCATATCTTGTACAACAAAGTTGATGATTATGGAGATTTGATATTGGGATCACTAAGTTAATTGATGATGATTAACAGAGCGAGTAAAGAATGATGAGTACATATATTAACCATAACTGCAGGAAATTTAGTTGATAGTATTGTTGAACCATCTGAGTACAGAAATCCAGGGCAAAGTATATCTATAAGGATGGAGTTAAGATACCTTTAATAAATCCAGTGAATTTTAAGATACATATGATATATCTAATGAACCTTTTCCAGGTTATCATCAACATCATTGTCTCTAGTT